AAACTAGCATTTAGGAATATTTCCGTTTTTCTGTTAGCGAGCTGCGTCTCAATTAGGGTTTTCTAGTTCTTACGCTTTCGGCGATTCTTTTTGTACCAGTTCAACGCAGATTCGGAATAAGAACCTCTTTGCTCTCTATTTTCGTTTATTCTCATTTAAATTCTAAGTATTTTCGTCATCTTATTTTCGTTGTGCGGTTTTCGCAGATAGCAGGTTCCTCTGGAAACTTAGGGTTTTCCCGAAGTTTCCTTATTTACGATTTATTTGACAGTAGGGTGAAATCGACTCCCACAACAAGTTAGGAGCCTTGACTATAAGAGCAGACGGTGAAATCCTAGTTCAACCTAAGACTACAGAAACCCTTATTGAGACGCAGCTCGAACAACAAAAACAAAATAATTGCCTAAATGCTCTAAGTGCTAAATTTGCTCTGTCGTTGTCTCTCTTGCCTTGAACTCCTTATATACTCCCTCCAAAGTCGGATTACGCTTTCCACTTCTGCCCTTAAGCCGTCATAGCCCAAAAATGGAGATTTTCCATTTTCCCGATCTTACGATTATCTTCAAAGTTTTGATGTTTATCCGCGGAAACTTGAAATTTATCTTCTCTTGCAAGACAAGGATAAAACACCGTAGGATCTATGGTCTTTTTAAAAAAAAACCATAAGTAGGCTTTTAGTCGCGTTCTAAGCTTCTTTGGGCCGTATTTCGACTCGAAACGTTTTCACGGTTTTGTTTTGATAAAAACAAGGTTTCCACGGTTTTTATCGTTAAGTCCGAATGATAACTCCGATCGATAAGGAAAGAGTGGTAGTTCAATTGTGACCTTCGGGAGATTGCATCAAAGTGTAGACGAGAATGTATTGATTTGTGTTTACGTCAATCTTCGGGATAGTCTGGTCGCTACGTAGCGATTCAATCCTTGCTTGGGTTGGGTTGCAAATTAACGACCTGTTTTGTTCGTGGGTAAGTTAGGACGTTTCTTCCACTTTTAGGTTTTTGTCCGATGTTTCGATGGTAACTTTGTCGTGACCATTTTTGACCCCAATAGTTAGCCTCTCAGCCTGTTAGGATCATAGATTGCTTAGGAGATTCTAGCGTGCGTTTTGGATAAGCTGGGCAAGATTGGTGAGTTTCAACGAATTTAAGCATCTGAAAGTCTAAAGACAAAAAGTAAATTCTTATGCCTATAAGTATATGGAGTAAATTCTCATCTTTCCCACTTGCTCATTTCCACAAGAGAAAATTTCTATTGAGATTGAAGTTGGAAAGAAACTCCCTCCTCTTTTTCCAAAGAAAGTTAAGAAAATGTCTTCTAGGAAGAGGGTATCGAAGAAGACTGCTGCACGTGGTTCCTTGTCTAGAGGTACTAGCGAGGAAGAGATCATTGTTCCAAAAGCTGAGTTCATGCCTCGTTCGGTCGATCAGGATGAGGCCAAAGCGTACTGGACCGCCAGATGTGGCACAATCGTTCCGTCTCCCAAAGCTCCCTTCCCCGCTCTGAGCCATCCTGAAGTAGAAGCGGGTGCTCCAAGTAATATTTCGCATTCGTTCCTTAAGATAATCCGTGAGTTTTGTGTGATTTCGGATGGCATGGAACTCTGAATTCCTTGTCAAGGAGAGAGTGCTGATAACCCTCTGGAGGGATACTTTACGTGTTATGAGGCATTCCTAGTATGCTGCTGTTTATGGTTCCCTATTCCGGAAATCATAATCCGGGTATTGGATCGCTTTGAGGTAGCGTTGGCAAAGTTAAATCCCACCAGTCATCAGCACCTTATCGGTGTCTTAGGGCTGAGCTACAATCACAATTTTTCTCTCACTTTTGATCACTTAGAGGCCCTCCTTAGGTTGCAATATGTCTCGGAGCCGTGTACCCTCCCGGTTGGCCCCTCAGAAGTACATGTCGGTGATCAGGGATCCTATTTTGAACTGCGGCCCATGGAGGAAACTCTTCTTTTTTGTTCGTATAAGCGCTGATTCGATTGATGAAGGTTGTATCCCGCTGCTTAGGAGCAGGTCAAACCCTAATCCGTACACCAATCCCCTCGCTCCGTTTCCCGCCGATCTGGTGGCAGCGAGGGATCTTCTAAGGAACATGCTGTCTTTCTGGTCGTCCTTTACGCGTTTCCTTTCTGATTCCTGGGTGGCGGAGGATGTTGACTCAGACTTGGATGATCCTACCCTCAGCCATGTCCCTTTGAGAGGTACGGAGGCTGAATCATTCAAAGGAAAAAGAATTATCCTCGGCGGTATAAAGTTTTTCGTGGATGACTTCATACTTCCAGTATGGGATCAAAATCTCGCTTTTGGCGACGGTAGTGGTTCGAGTGATTTGCCTCTGCCAGACTTTGATCAGTTCTTTGCCGACCTTCCTACAGATCTTGATCCGCCTCCGCCCACGGAAGAATGGAGGAGGCTTGAAGTAGTCGTGGAGGGATCCTGTAGGATGAATGGGGTTAGTGTAATTCGTATGTCTTGGAATTTTTCCGTTTAACGATATTGCGAATTATTCTGATGTTTTGATCGTCTTTGTAGGGGCTGGACGTACTTAGCTCGGCTCTTGAGGCAAGTAACAGGGAGGCGATGGTCTACAGCTTCAAGGCGGAGAAAGCGGAAAAAGATCTCACTCGCGTGCATAACGAGGTCTTAGAGTGAGAGTCGAAGCTTTCCAGGGATCATGCCATGCCCATCCGTCGAGCGGAGAAAACAGGTCGGAGAGAGGTCGTTGCTGTGATGAGCCAGCGAGCATCTGAGTCCGAGCTTGGCAATCTCAGCGAGGCTTATTTTTTGGTGGGTGATTTCCGCGAGTGTCGCGGTTCGGTTGGTACCTTGTGGAAGACGCATCTGGTCGAATTTGATTTCAAGGACGAGATGGCGACTATGGAGGGAAGTATGAATGATTACGCCCATGCTGAGTCGTTAATCTTCCTAATCGAGGGGAGGCTCCGGGGATTTTGGGATCCCTTCCCGGTTTCTCCCGTTACGGAGGAGGTTTTGACTGAGTTTCCTGGGGAGGATGAGGAGGTGAACTTCCCAGCGAGCGCGTTTGAAGTGTCGCTGTCCGGAAACGTTAGTATTTAGTGGAGAGTGTCCCCTTGTATTTTTAGGCCGCATGGCTGTTTAGATTTTATTAAGTGTGGGCCTGTTTGGCCATTTTATTTTTATCGAGACTGGCTGTTGATGTCTTCGAATCCCTCACTACAAGAAAACTAAGAGTTGACTAGGAAATTTTACTAGGAAAATCATTCCTCGTGAATTTACAATGAGATTACTTCGGTTTTACGAGGAAAACAAGAATCCTCGTAAAGTCCTCGTAAAGTCCTCGTAAACTTATTTTACTAGGAAAACAATTCCTCGTAAATTTACTACTAGCTTACTTCGGATTTACGAGGAAAACAAGTTTCCTTGTAACGTCCTCGTAAAGTTACGAGAAAACATTTTCCTCATAAGACCGTAGTAAACTTACGAGGAAACTACGTGGCAAAAGACCATTTCCTCGTAAGCTCGTAGTAAATACTTTCCTCGTAAAGTCCTAGTAAATATTTACTACGAAATTAGGAGGAAATGATCTTTTACTTCAAATTAGCGAGAAACTTGATAGAAAATTTCTAATTTAAATCTAAAATGTGTTTTCTACCTACTTTTCCTAGTAATTTCCTAGTAAATGCTCAGATTCGAAAATTTCTATAAGTATTACCATTTGTGATTCATTTCAAACACACCAAAAAAATCAGCTTTAAGCTTGATCAAAGACAAAAAAATGTCCGGTCCGGGAAATATTTTCGAGTTGCGGAAGTGGATGTATTCACACAGAGATAATAACGGGAGTGACGAAAGAATTTCTTGAAGGGTTGGAGACGTTTATGCATCAAGCAGATTTTACACCACTCACGCATGAAAGTGGTAAGATGTTATGTCCTTGTCGGAAATGCTGCAATACAAAATTAGGCCGTCGTGAAAATGTTTGGAAGCATTCAATAAATAGAGGTTTCTTGCCATATTATTATATTTGGTATCAACATGGAGAAAATGCTAATTATAGGAATGAAGGTAGCAGTAGTAATAGCAATTTTCAGGTTGAGCCGTTTGATCATTTGCGTAATGAAAATAGCTATCATCACCAAGAGGAACAAATGGTAGATTGTGATAGGGTTCATGATATGGTAGGTGATGCATTTGTAACTAATGATGATGATGAAGTTGAAGAACCTAACTTAGATGCAAAAAAGTTTTATGAAATGTTAGAAGCTGCGAATGAGCCAATTTACAGTGGTTGTAGAGAAGGTCTGTCTAAATTGTCGTTGGCTGCTAGAATGATGAGTATTAAAACCGATCACAATCTACCTGAAAATTGTATGGATGCGTGGGCAAGACTTGTTTAAAGAGTATTTGCCAGAAGACAATGTGTCTGCTGAATCTTATTATGAGATTCATAAATTGGTATATAGTCTTGGGTTGCCCTCGGAGATGATAGACGTTTGCATCGACAACTGCATGTTTTACTGGGGAGATGATGAGAAGTTAGAAGAACGTCGATTTTGTAAGAAGCCACGATTCAAACCGCAAGGTCGAGGGCATAATAGGGTACCGTACCAAAGGATGTGGTACCTACCAATCACAGACAGATTGAAAAGATTGTACCAATCTGAGGAGACTGCTGGAGGGATGAGATGGCACGCCGAGCATTCTCAGACGGATGGAGAGATGACTCATCCATTAGATGCAAGAGCCTGGAAACATTTTAACAATGTATATCCACATTTTGCTAGCAATAGCCGGAATGTGTATCTTGGATTATGCACTGATGGATTTAGTCCATTTGGAATGTCAAGGAGACAATACTCATTGTGGCCAGTCTTTCTTACACTGTATAACCTGCCACCAGAGATGTGCATGCGACGAGAGTTTCTATTCTTGACCATATTAATACCTGGTCCAAAGCATCCAAAAAGATCTCTCGATGTTTTTTTACAACCGCTGATAAAAGAGTTGAAAGATTTGTGGTCAACAGGGGTGAGGACATATGATTGTTCAACGAAAACAAATTTTACGATGCGAGCGATGCTTTTGTGGACCATAAGTGACTTTCCTGCATATGGGATGTTGTCTGGATGAACTACACATGAGAGATTAGCTTGTCCATATTGTAATAGAATGACAAATGCGTTTTCAGTTGAAGAATGGTAGGAAGACTACTTGGTTCGATTGTCACAGTTGATTCTTCCCGTTTACCACCCATACCGAAGAAACAAGACACTGTTCAGGCACAAAAGGGTTGTCTGAGACACTCCTCCTCCATACTTAACTGGAGAACAAATCGAAGCACATATCGATTACTACGGTGCTCTAGAAACAGCTCCTCGTGGTGGGAATTGTCATGTTCCCAGTAATATGCCTGATTCTTATGATGTTTAACACAATTGGCACAAAAAGAGTATATTTTGGGAATTGCCATATTGGAAAGATCTTGTTCTGCGCCACAACCTCGATGTGATGCATATAGAGAAGAACTTTTTTGAGAACATTGTGAACACTATATTGAATGTCCCAGGGAAGATGAAAGACAACGTAAAACCGAGGTCGGACTTACCCGATATCTGCTCAAGGAGTGAGCTACATATAAAAAGCAATGGGCAAGTTCCAGTTACGATATTCATATTGTCATCAGAAAAAAAGTCTGTGTTGTTCAACTAGGTGGCTTCAGAAGTGAAGTTCCCTGATGGGTTTGTTTTAAGTCTTTCAAGATGTGTTGAGAAAGGGAAAAAGTTCTCCGGGATGAAGAGCCATGATTGTCATGTCTTTATGCAGCGATTACTCCCCTTTGGATTTGCGGAGTTACTACCGGCAAAAGTACATGAAACACTTTCAGGTAATTAATATAAAACATCCCCATCTTAATCTGCAACTTGGAGAAAATATTTCCGCCTACTTTTTTTGACATCATGGAACACCTAGTTGTCCACCTCCCGTATGAGGCATTACTTCGTGGACCTGTGCATTATGGATGGATGTATCAGTATGAAAGGACCATGAAAACTTTGAAAGGAAAAGCCAAAAACCTAGGAAGAGTTGAAGGTTCTATTGTTGCGGGAAGTTTGATGGAAGAAACATCACATTTCACATCGAACTACTTTGCACTGAAAGTACGTACAAGGAAACGAGCTCCAAGAAGATATGATGATGGTGGTGTCGTGCCGACATATATGGAAGAAGATGTTCCAGACATCTTTTGTCAAATTGGGCGATTGGGTGGGAAATTGAAAGATGTTGGTGGTCGAATGATGAAGACGTCCATAGTGCACGCCTTTATATTCTTCTCAATTGTGAGCATCCATTGATTGGTTATTTTGAAAGGTAAATATATAAACATACACACACACACACACACACACACACACACACATATATATATATATATATATATATATATATATATATATATATATATATATATATATATATATTTTTTTTTTTTCAATATTAAATAACATAACATATATGATTTTACAGCCAATTTGTGACTCAAGTCGAAGAAGCAATACCTGGTATATCGACAACTGAGTTAGACAAAAGAAAAGATCAACCCTTTATCAAGTGGTTGAGGAAACATGTATTTATTATAACTTAAATTTTATGCATACATTACCACAAAGTAAGTCTAATGTCCAGTTCTATTACTTTTTTGCAGGTTAATTATGACGATCCTGAGTATCCCGCATGGTTTCGCGAATTACTTTAAGGTCCAGTTGCAAAGGTCACTGGATTATCGATGTATTTCACCCGAGGCTATACTTTTCATACCTATGACTATGGTAGACACCGGGCGACAAGTAACTATGGAATATGTGTGAAAGGCGAAACAGATTTCTACGGGATCTTGCAGGAGATTTATGAAGTTCAATTTCCAGGTATGAGTTTGAAATGCGTTATCTTCAAGTGTAAGTGGTACGACCCTGTCGTCAACAAAGGTGTTCGGATTAACAAGAACAATGTAGTTGATGTCAATAGTGGACGAAGGTACAACAAATTTTTTTTTTTGACATCCAGGTTTCGAGTACTAATTAATTTCGACGTTGTCTTTATTTTTTCAGGTACAACAAATTCGAGCCTTTCAGATTAGCTTCCCAAGCAGATCAAGTTTGCTTCATTCCATACCCTCGGATTACTACCACGGGAATAAACTGGTTAGCTGTTATCAAAGTTACATCTCGAGGACGAATAATCGTTGGAGAAGAACCACCATTACAAGAAGAAAACACCAATGAAATCGAGGAACCTGAAGCATAAATTGATGAGATCCTACTCATTGATCCGCATAATTGTGAATACGAAGATGTTCCTGATCACTCGACGAACGAAGGTGTTGAGGACGAGTTTTACGAAAATTATGATGTTTCAACAGATTACGAGAATGTATCCGAATGAATTATATATGTTTTATAAGTTTGTTTAATCACAAAAATTAATTTGAATTATGTATGTTTTAAGTTTGTTTAATCACAAAATTAATTTGAATTTGGGGTTTATGTGTAGAAGAGGTTTGGAGTTTGGTTGTAGAAGAGGTTATAAGTTAAGGAAATTGTGGTTTGGGGTTTGGAGTTTCGATTTTAGGGATTTACAAACCCTTTCGTCGTAAAAACCTAATAACAGAAAAC